GGGGCCTAGCAGCTGAGTCCTGAGAGAGGGTCAGGCTAAGTCAGGTGAAGGGAGCAGGGACAGCATGGGCAGGGCCTGAGATAACCGATAACCACATTTGATGACTGGAAGCAACCGGTGTGGTCGGAGCTTGCCATGGTATCAAGAGAGGGGGAGGACCCAGATGGGGAAGGATCTTTTGGACATTTTCAGGTTTCGGATTTTATATTAAGAACATCAGGAAGCTAATGGAGGGTGTGTATTATGGAGTGTAGCCTGGTCTGGTTTGTTCCACACAAGTAGGGAGAATTGTCTAGAGACTAACTCACGTAGGAGGTCCTCCTGGTAATAGATTCTGACCCGATGATAGAAGTAAAGTAGGAGAGAGGTGAAGCGATTGAAGAAATATTTAGGATGTAGAATAAACAGGATATACAAACCTAGTTTCTAAATAGTATATTGTGTACTACTGTTAGCACACTTAATTTTTTTGGTATGTCTTTGAGCATGTGTGTTTAGAACCACAAGTGAATATAATCTCATAGTAGAAATGCACAGATTAAATGGTTTGAAAACATGCATTACCAAAAAAAGTTAATTTGTGGTTCTTTTGTGAAAGGCTTGGAAGATACCTAATTAAACAATTATAAGTTGAAATAAGTTGCTTTCAAATTATATTCCAGCCCATATTGAAATTTCTTTCTGAGCCAATGCATTCGCCTGACAAAAGGGCTTTTGTACCATTTCTGGAAGAGATCTTTAAATTTGTCAAGAATCTTATGATATTGACTATTCACCTCTAACCCTGAAAAATGAAGTCTTTCCAGGACATACATTGTCTTGATTTTTATGTGGTTACTAGAGGCCCAGTGCATGGAATTCATGCACATGGGGGGTGGGGGTCACTCAGCCTGGCCTGCGCCATCTCGCAGTCCAGGAGCCCTCGGGGATGTCTGACTGCCACGGAGGCAGGAGAGGCTCCCGCCACCGCTGCTGCGCTTGCCAGCTGTGAGCCCGGCTTCTTGCTGAACAGCGCTCCCCCTGTGGGAGTGCACTGACCACCAGGGGGCAGCTCCTGTGTTGAGCATCTGCCCCCTGGTGGTCAGTGCGTGTCATAGTGACTGGTCATTCTGCTGTTTGGTCAATTTGCATATTAACCTTTTATTATATAGGATTATTGTGCTTCTGAAGCATGTACAGTGGGGCCTTGACTTACGAGTTTAATTCGTTCCGAGACCGAGCTCGTTAAGGAGCTTGTTAAGGAGCTCGTTAACTCAAATTACTCTATCAACTCAATGCAAAAAATTGGCCGAGAGACAGCTGGTATCTCAAAAAACTCATTAGTCGGGACACTTGTAAGTCAAGGCCCCACTGTATTTTAATTAGGTGTCATTTGCCTTGATTGAGAGCATGCTGAGCTACTAACGTCATAGGTTGTTTTTCATAACTGTAGTCACTAAGCAATATAGAATGGCTCCTGAAGACTTAGCAGTGTCGGACAAGGTCAAAGTGACTTCCCCACTGCACTGCCTTTGTGCTGAGTGCACTCTAGTTACTTATTCTCCTCTGGTGTCTTTAGAGGAGTAAGAAACAGTGAGGTCTCTAAGTGTCCCGGAGGAAGATGCTTCAGTTGTCCAGTGCTCCGGCGCCAGAGTCACAGCATGGCTACCAGGACGTTGCTCAGTTATAGTAGTGTTGCTGAATTAATGGGTTACACAGCCCTCTGAGGAATAACAGCAGTAACAGTTGATATTTCTGCATCAAAATAGTTATTTATTCAAGCACTCCTATCTTCTACTTTGTAGTCAAGCTATTTCCACGTCAGTTTAGTAAGTAGGAACTTCATATTGCAGGAAACTAGGTAACTGGAGAAAAGTTTTATCACCTGGAAAGTGGAGATGGTGACAGGTGCTACAAAGGTTGAAAAAAGAATACATCTTTTTCCTGAGACATGAGTAGTCAGTGTGTTTACTTACTGTCATGATGGTGCCTTGTATAGTGTCGTTTGTGTGTTGAGGTGAAGCTCTAACCTTATGTCTCTTAAATTAAATCTCTACCTGTTTAGCAGAAGTCTTAAGTAGTATATATCTGCATTATGTAAGCAAGGCTTTCAGTATTAACGTTTTTAGAATGTGCTGATCCAACTTCTAACAAATAGAGAAAATTAGGGAAAACTAAAATGGTTATAAATATTTTTTTCAAATACAGTAGATATAAAACAAATGTGATTTTTCTGTTCTTTAAAGCAGATTTTTCTTAGACATTTGTAGCTTAAAATATGCACTTTATCAGAAAAAAATTATGAATGAATTTACTAGTAAGCCAGGGAACTCTATTTCTGAGAAAACTCAACCTGATAGATTGTAATGATCAAGCTGAGGAGCATTGAACTGGGACGAGAAGGATGGAACAGGCAAGGGCCTCGGAGAGACCCTCCCACTCATACCTCGCTTGGAGAAACTGGGTTCTGTGCTGCATAGTGTTTTGGCCCAGAGACACCCTGACTACGTGCGGTCTACAGGGAGATGCCTGGATTCGGGGGTCTGAAGTTTTGTAGCTGACAGAGGAGTGCATTCTGCCTAGATAGTGAGGGGACAATTTTACACAGACTGCTGAGTTTCCAACAACGTACGTCAACTGTAGTCATTTTATAAATTAAATGAGTACTACTGTGTTTGACATGACTTACAGTATATAGATTATGTTCATGAGAGAGTAGAGGGTAACTCTATAGTAGATACCCTCAGGAAGAAGGTTTTAGTTAACAGTGGCCATCTCGGAGAGCTTTTTGCTTTGGGTGGTGGTGGGTCCTGTCTATGTAAAGAAGGTATTTTTGCACCATTCTGACCTCTTGATAGCTCTCTGCTTACTATATTCCTGTAGTCCTAGCATGCGAATCTAAAACTCCTTCTAACTCTACAGGAAAGCTTTGATGTGGCATTTAAATTTCACAAGGCTTCCTACCCAAGGCGGATCTAGGAAATTTAGTACTGCAGTTCTCTCACACCTGCATGGGTTTTCTTTTTATTCCTTCTTTGCTTTAAGATGAAAATAAACAGCAAAGCACTTTATAAAATGTTGTGAGATAATGAAAGAACCAGCCCCATTCTGCTGCTTAGTTTTCCTGAGAGTAGTCTTTCGCTGTCCTCACCAACTCCAGATGCCTGAAGACCATGCCTTTGGCAGCAGTGAGACCAAAATTTCAGCAACAGAACTAGAGAGTAAAGGAAAACTGTGTGGACAAGTGACTAACAAACATCAAAATTTTCAGAGATCGTCAAGGGCAGGAGAGATGTTTTAAAAGTCCCATTCTTGGTAATTTTATGTAAGCTAAAGGTCTCTTCATTATTTTATCAAAATGTCATTTGGCAAAATACCTCCTATAAAATAGTGTGATAACGAATCTTTGGACGTTGTAAGGGATTGTTAATTTATTTCCAGTGCTGTTTGTATCAAGGGCAGAAGTCATAGCACCAGTAGTACAGTGATTTTATCATTTGGGAATTCAGCTTTAGAATTCATTTACACGTTAATTTTCTTTTTTTTTTTTTTTTTAAATATATTTTATTGATTTTTCACAGAGAGGAAGGGAGAGAGATAGAGAGCCAGAAACATCGATGAGAGAGAAACATCGATCAGCTGCCTCCTGCACATCCCCTACTGGGGATGTGCCCGCAACCCAGGTACATGCCCTTGACCGGAATCGAACCTGGAACCCTTCAGTCCGCAGGCCGACGCTCTATCCACTGAGCTTTAGAATTCATTTACACGTTAATTTTCAAATAGTAATTGATGTTATCAGAGAGGACTTCTCATGAGACAAAGGTAAAGATAGTGTTATCAGCTTGATTTCTCAGCTCTTGGAGAGAATCTCTTTCCTTCCTCCGCTTCTGTTTAGAAGGCTTGTGACTTGTTCTCTCTCATTATGAAAGCTAGACAGAGAGTCTCTGAGATTCTCTCTTAAGTGTGCTAGTGTTTTCCAGCAGAATTCGAAAAGACAGAAGTCCTTTATTATAAAGTGGACCTCAGGACCACAGAGCCTAAGTAGTTTGGGTTTTGTTAAGTTGTTACTGTTTTTGTTGTTATCTTACAAGACAAAGCTTATTTTTATACTGTTATATCACTCCTCGAACTGGTATCAAGAAAACAGTTATATCACAGAAGAGTTTTCTTTCCGCAGGCACTGGCAGAAATGGTACATGTTTGATTACATAGCAATTTGTATTCCCTATGTATTTTAATGCTCCCCTAAGCTGCTATTCATCATAAAAAGGAAAAAGTTTAAAGCCCTATTTAATTTTGCACTTGAATATCCATACTTGGGAGGGTGGCTTTGAAGTGATCTATATCAATTTCTGTAGGGTTTCTTGATTTTATTTGCCATTTTATAAATATTTTGTTCTTTGTAATAGAAGTATGTCATATAGATTCTTAAGGGGAAATTCCCATTTCTCTAATTTAGTGATCAAATTCCTTACAAAATAGCCAGGAGGAGGAGATGAAATACCAAAACATATGTTCTAATAACAGAGAGTTTTAGAAGATTACAAAGCACCGGAGATTTTCTCCCTCCTCCCCCAGATTATGTCTATGAATTTGAAAGAATTTCCTTTTGGAGCCCTTGCATCCTCTCACTGTTTCTGAAGGAGCCCGTGGTAGTTCCTATTGATGCTATAGCAACTGAAGTAGAAAATCGTGAGCATTCTGTTAAATAAAAGTGCCAGTTTATAACGTATGTCATTGCATGTTAATATTCTTTGAGTCCCTAATGATGAAATGTGGTTCTCAAATGTGTCTGATTTCCATCTGAATCCAAGGGAGTCATGTACACAAGGCTAGAACAGGATGCAGTGTGGCTTTGGAATATGAGTGTTTCTATGACACTTGCCCTTGAACTTAGAACCATAACAGATGTGAGAATTATGATGAGGACAACCTAATTTAAGTTTTATAAATTTTAGGAAATGTCATCTTTTATTGGTTTCAGAGACTTTTTCAAATGTTTTAAACACAATTTTCAGATAACAATAATGAAAAGCTGAGCCCCAAACCAGGGACAGGTGAACCAGTTTTAAGTTTGCACTACAGCACAGAAGGAACAACTACAAGCACAATAAAACTGAACTTTACAGATGAATGGTAAGTTCATATTTTTGTAAAGATGTTCTTAGCCATTTTGTAGGATTTTGTTAGATATTATTTGCAGCACTTCATCATCTTTGTGCCTTGCTTTGCTATAATGTGTGCTTCAGAATCACTTGGAGAGCTCGTTAAAACAGAGGACTGGGCCCTACTCGGAGTTTATTCAGAATGAGGAGGGATCCGAGAATTTGCATTTCTAGAAACTTCCCAGGTGATGCTGATGTTGCTAGTTCTGGGATATTCCTTTTGATAGAAAATGCCAAAGATAAAAAGAATTAATCACCTATAGACCATTTGTGTAAAAATAATAAACCTAGCATTTTGGAGCTTTTTGTAGTCTTGGTCCTGTGTGTGTGTGTGTGTGTGTGTGTGTGTGTGTGTGTGTGTTTGTATGTGTGTGTGTGTGTATGATTTTTGTTTTGAGTTTTAAGTCATAATTTTAATCGTGTTGAATGTACTCAATTCTCCCCTGCATTTATTTGACTTAACTGTATAATAAATATTCACGTTACTACTTAGCTTTCATAAATGTTATTTTATTACCTGTATATAGCCCATCAAATAGATGTACTACAGTGCACTTAATCATTTCTCTTTAATTGGGCAGTGAATTTGTTTATCCTCTTTTTATTTAACTAAATAAGACTATAATGAATATCTTTGTTTACAGGCTTTTTTCCTGCCTTTAAGAATACTGATTTGAGATATGTTTCCAGAAATAAACTATATATAGGTCAAAGATATTGCCAAATTACTTTCAAAAGAATCTTGTATCATTCTGTTTTACTAGCAGCATATGAAAGTACACATTTTGCTGTCTCTGGACCAATGTTCAGTATATTCATTTATTTTTAACTTGTATATTTGATTTTAAAATAACATTTGTTTCTATTTAATTGATTACTAGTAAGGTTGAGCTTTATATTTATTTAATGGTTGTATAGGTTCTCTTTAATGATATTTCTGATTATGTTTATTCCCATTAACCTAGTTAAATCTTACTCTTTAAAAAAAATCAGTTATGTAGCCTTCTTATATTCTTTCCCACTGTCTCATGGCCTTCTGTTTCAGAGTGCCTCCAACATTTTTATTTAGATTTATTACTATTGCTATTTAATATTGATTAATATAAAAGTAACTTGATCTTTCCTAATATACCATTAGTTATGTATTAACATAACTACATATATATAGTAATTATATTAATCATTTAATAACCAATATATTAATTATTTGACATAATTAATATATTAACATACTTAATCACATATCCATATAATTATTATGTTACATATGTTAGTATATATAATATGCATAAATAATATATAATATAGTTATATATTTATTAATATATAATTAATTATATGTTCATATGATAATATTAATATTTATGTATTCCAATTCACTGGCTTCTATTTGTGTTTATGTGTGTATGTACTTTACATTAAAATCTTTGATTAAGTAGTATATTCAAATATTATAGAATACTTTCTATGTTCCAGACACTATTATAGACATGGGGAGTGCATCAGTGAAAAAAATAGGGGGGAAAAAACCTTTGTCCTGTAGGAACTCACATTCTAGGTGGAGGAGACAGACAATATACATAATAAATAAGTGAATTGTATAATACATTAGAGTACTAAGTGCTCTGGAAGAAAAGAGAGCAGATGAGGGTGGTTGACAGGGTGGACAGCATCATTGGGAGGATGAGGAGTGAGCTGTGCACAGCTTGGGGACGAGCAGAGAGAAAGCCAGCACAAGGCTCTGCAGGAGCAGACCTACTATGTGTAAGGATCTGTAAGAGAAGCTTAGATGTGTAGCCAGAGTGGAGTGACCAAAGGAGAGAGCAGTGGCAGAAAAGGTCAGCCAAGTAAGTGAGGAGGACATTTGAAAGATAGAGGGTATCTGGTTGCTGTGTAGACAGAGGCCATCGGTAGAGATGGGAGATCAGAGAACAGGCTGTGGCACTAGCAAGGTGAGAGGCACTGGTGTCTTGGGCAGATGGCACAGGGGAGGCAGTAAGAGGAGACTGGATTCTGGATATGTATTTGAAGGTGCAGTCAATAGAATTTTTTTATGAGCCCTAGCGTTTGACCTCTGCTTTTTAAAATTAGGATATCTCTGGCCCTTTCTCTTAATATATAATTTAAGATCACAGAAGATTATCATCCTTACTCTGTTTGTCTTTTCTATTCTCATGATTCTGGACAGAAGGGCTGGTTTCTTATAAAGAATCTCATCTGAGCACTTTTTTTTTTTTTAAGAAAAAAAGGTTCAGTCCCTCTTCTTTTGAACTTTTTCATCTCTAAAAACTGACCGTGAATTATATTCTCTTACTCACCAGTTTCTTATTTCTTTATCAAAGAAGTAGTTAGCTTTTTTCTGATTATGCGAGTATTCAATATTCATTATAAAAAAAAATTCAAGAAAGGATGCAGTCTTTTTCATCTCTGCCACACAGCGTCCTACTCTTAGTTTAGTTTCTTTGAAGACAAATGAGGCAGTAGAGCCCATGGACTAAGAGCTTGGACTCCAGTTTTCTCACCTGAAAATGGGCATATTTAGTAGAACCCACTTCAGAGGTGCTTGTAGAGTTAGTGAGACCACGCAGAAAAAGTCCATAGCACTCAGCACATTGATGAGCCCTAAAGAATCCTTAGCTCAAGTACCATCTTTTGTAAACTGCCTTTCAGATTCTTGGCAGTTTCCTTGTGAGGTATTTGTCTTTTTCTTCTTGAATTATAAAAGGTGTTTATTTCTTACAGGAGTAAGTGGGGTGATACCATTGACTTTCCTTTGTTGCAGATATTTCCCCCAGTTGGTTGTGTCACAGTTTTTTATGGTGGTTTTGCTCTCGGTTACAGCCTGTGAGCGCATGCCTAGAAAAGCCTGTCCTTCCCAGGATTAGGGAGAAAGCTTTCTTGTTTTCCTCTTAATTTCTGTGATTTTATATCAAAAATTATATGTTTAGCCCTTCGATAACTTATTTCTCCATAAAGTGTGCTATAGAGCTATAGCTTAATTTTTCCACATGGTTGTTCCTTTGTCCCAGTCCCATTTATTGAGCAATCTCTTCATTTCTCTGTGATTTAAAATGCCATATTAACATATGCTAAATTTACTTACTTGGTTACTTTGTCTTTTCCACTAATGGCTCTCAATTCCTACATCAGTGCCATGATGTTTTAATCATCATAACTATTATACATGAGCATTTTATTTATGCCTGTGTCATAGTTTTCTCAGTGAAATACAACGTTAGTTTCTCTTTACCCAAGTGACTATATACTTTTTTCTGGTTAAAAAGAAATACATATTAATTGCAAAAAAGAATTCAGAATTTACAGAAAAACACAAAAGAATCACTGACAATAATGCTTCTGAAATGACACTTATGCCACTGCCTGTTTTTTCTGACATTTTTCTCTGGGAATTTACCCAGATGGATACACATTCTTTTTTTTTTTTTAATTCCATATTATACATGGATGCCTTTTTAAAAAAAATAAATTGACTTTTGCCTAAAAGCATTTTTTATAAAATAAATTAGCCTGAAAGCATTTTTTATAAAATCTTGGCCAAAAATTTCATGATAATTTGTATTGTTTACTGAGTCACTGCTACTTGTCTATAATTAATGGTTTTTAAGTTATCGTAACTCTTAAGTTTCATTTCCTTGTTCACATTTATTCTAAATTTGAGAAATTGTCGCATTTCTGTTAATTTAATTTTAATCGGAGTCAGATACATTTTCCTCTATTTTCTTTCCCACTTCATTTCCCTCCCTATAATATGTGATGCCATGACTGGTCGTCACAGAAATTCATTGAAGTTGTTTATTTAAATTGGTCTAGCATTCTGCTCTCACCAAAATTGCTAACAGAATTATGGCCATCATCAGGTGGGTAGTAAAACTAACCCAGAAAACGTCTTGGGCTTCTACAAACTGGTGCCCAGTCACCTGCCATATTAACAACAGTCCAAACTGGAAGTGGTCTGCAGAGGGCAGTGCAAAGACCAAAGAAATGTCTAGGCCTTTTTAAAGTATTAATTTAAAAGTAGCCTACGGAAAAAAAATAAAAAGTAGGCTAGAACAACAAAGTCTAATCGGGCATATGATCAAAATCTGTAGAATCGGTAAGGATTAGGGTGAACCATCCTGAGTGAGGATAAGAAGGGAGACAATGTAATTAAGTTATAAAATTCAAGAGAGAGCTGGGTAGAAATGTGAAGCTGATCATCATAGAAGCATTAAAACAATGTGGAAGCGGTCCTTTTGTATTTCTAGGTCTCCTTTTTAAGATAAGTAGGTTAGAGTAGTCACCTTGATTATCAAAAGTGATATTTTCTAAGTACTATTAAAATAATACACCCTACATTTTATTTGATCCTGAATTTTTGTTTATTATTAACTTACTGGTGGGACCACTTGCTTTGTTTTGATGACAGGAGCAGTACATCCTCCAGTTCTAGAGGGAATGGGACCCACAGCAAACCGGAGGGTCAGGAGGAGTCCCTGGTCCCACAGAGCTCGGAGCCGCCTCCAGCAGGAGATAGCGAGACAGGTAAGCCGTGGCCGTGCTTTGTCATCACAATCCCCAATGATGGACGTCCACCCATTTTTCTGATCCCTCAATGGTGCCCTTGGTTTCCTGTTTTTAATGAATTACTTTTTCCTCTAGTCTAGCTCTTACTGTTGATAAATAGGTGACAGGTTCACCAAGAAGGGACTGTCAGTATTTCACATGGGGCATCACAGTGCAACCGTTTCCCTCTGTGGACAAATGGCCAGGAAACGTGGTCACCGCCCTGACAGTGTGTGCACTGTCAGTGTCAGTTTGGATCACCTGCTGTTTTTATACCAAGCATTGGAATTCAGAGTATCTGACTTGATTTTTTTCAGTGTGTATGTGTTTTATGAAGGAAAAGAAAGAAGGAATATGATCTAAACGAGTTATCAGTGAATCTTGTTTCATACAGGAAGTGCCATTTAGGGACTTTTTCAGAACACTTTCCTAGAATATTTTTATGTAATACTAGAGGCCCAGTGCACGAATTCATGCACGGGTGGGGTCCCTCAGGGTGGCCTGCGGAGATTGGGCCCCAGCTCGTGCCCCCACCCTTGCAGCCCCAGCTCCCGCTCACAGCCCTGCAGCCCCGCCTGGCACCCTGCCTTGGCCTGGCACCGCCCCCTTACCTGCTCCACCGCCCGCCGGCGGGGCGATCAATCGGGGCCGGCCCCCCCGCTGCCCCCCCTGGTCGCCATCTGTGAGGCGATTGGGCCCCCGCTCACACCCGCCTTGACCTGGCACCACCCGCTCACCTGCTCCACCATCAAGGCCGGCAGTGCCTCCACTGTTGCCCGCTGCCAGCGCCACGTTGATGATGCCTGCCGTGTTCCGCGCCACCCCCTGGTAGTCAGTGCACGTCATAGCAAGCGGTTGAACTCCCAAACGACCGTCCGAGGGGACAATTTGCAGGCTTATATGAAAGAGTCCAGCAAAGAGCTTGAAACAGTCGATTCTCAATAAATATTTGATGAATGAAGGAATAAATGCATTCTGTTTCTTAAGAAGTGAACAGATATTTTAGTGCAACAGAATTTACAAGAATTAAATATATGTAAGACAACTGTCCAGTTAGGTAAGCAGATGTCCAGTTAGAAATAAAAAAGAGATCCGTAAGTGTTTTTAATGGGCAAAACAGAATTTAAAGTAGGCTCAACTGCACTATTGGTTCAAGATAGTTCAGGTTATGCTAAATGTTTGAGGGGCTGAAAAATACTCTGTATTAAGTTTAGCTTTTGTGACGATTAGAAACAAGCAAGATCAGGTCATCTCGGCTGTGAGGCATCATTGTCACCAGATATTCTCACATAGAGTTAGTTCCCAAAGGTCCAGCACCTCTGGAAGAGGCTGAGGGCACAGCTGGGCACCACTCCTTGAGGGTGTTTGTATTTGTGCATGTCTGTATTTGTGTCATACTGAGGGGAAGTTCATCTGAGTATCTAAAGTTTCCTTGGCCCCCAAAGGGTTAAGAACTACTTATACATAAGAGAGCTGGAGTATTAAGTTGGAACTTATTTTCCTAAAAACAGGTTGGGCCCTGGCCGGTTTGGTTCAGTGGTTAGAGCATCAGCCTACACACAAAATGGTCATGGGTTTGATTCCCAGTCAAGGGCACATACCTTGATTGCAGGTTTGATCCCAGCCCCAGTCAGGGTGCATGTGGGAGGCAACTAATCGATGTCTTTCTCTCATGTCAATGTCTTTCTTTCTCTATCCCTCCCTCCTCCCTCCCTTTCACTCTTCCTCTGAAAAATCAATGAAAAAAAATATCCTCAGGTGAGGATTAAAAAAAATCCCAAAAAACAATGTGGATTTAATGATCATTTGGTTTATTTCCCAGAAGCTCCTGAAGAATCCTCAGAGGATGTGAACACGTCCCAGGAAGGTGCATCTGCAGAAAGCACAGTTCAGAGCCAAGTAGACACAGGTGAGCTGTCTTCTCTCTAGTTGCTTCAAGTGTTAGTCTCCTAGAGTCAGAAGTAATTTCCAAATAGATGTGTTGTGGAATTTTCCTCTCCATTTAGGGAATATTTTAGTTTCTATTAGAAAGTAATTATAATATAACTAGAGGCCCGGTGCAGGGATCCCTCAGCGTGGCCTGCTGGATCGGGCCAAAACCGACAGTCCAATATCCCCCGAGGATGTAATAGTGCGTGAAGCCGCAGCTGGCCGGGGCAGAGCCTGAGCCCCGGCCAGGCGCTGTGCTGCTCCCGCTCATCCGGCCCCGCTGTGCCTGCCACTGCAGCCGCTCAGTAGGCTTGCGCTGCTCCGCTGCGGTCTCCACGTGCCCGTCCTAGGGCGATACTGGCACGCCCATGACTGAGAAGTGGCCACAGGTTTGCGCCCAGTCAGTCCCGATGCCGGTCCGATCCTGGTCCTGGTTCGGATGGGGGAGGGGCGGGCACAGGGAGTGTCTGTGGGAGAGGCTTGAGCTGCCACAGCTGCACTCACCAGCTGTGAGCCAGGTGTCTGGCACCGGTCAGTCAGCTGAGTGGCACTCCCGCTGTGGGAGCACACTGACCACCAGGGGTCAGGTCCTGTGTTGAGCAACTGCCCCCTGGTGGTCAGTGCGCGTCATAGTGAACGAGAT